AGAAAATTTTAGGCTGAGTGGGAGCAATGGCCAGGAAGTTAAGAAGAAAGCAGAGACGATTAAATGAAGATTAACTGTAAGCGAGCAGGAGAGGAAAGGAAGGAAACCTGCAAACCATATCAGCCAGTTGAAGATGCTGAGGTAACAAAAATTCATAGATGGGTGGCTGAGCAGAAACTGGAGAGAGATTGAGAGAGAGAGAAAGAGAAAGAGAGAGAGAGAGAGAGAGAGAGAGATTTGAAGAAGAAATATTAGCTACCGAGATGCAAGCAGGAAAAGAAACAATGGATGGAAACTCATCAAGGAGAGAAGCAACCGAGAACTAAGGAGAGAAATTTCCTAACAGGGAGAAGAATTAATCAGTGGAACGATTTGCCTCCAGATTAGTTGTGGATGCTCCCAACACTGGAGGTTTTGAAGGAGAGATTGGACCACCATTTGTCTGAAATGGGATCGGGTCTCTCATTTGAGCGGGAGTGGTGGTGGACTAGATGGCCTCCAAGGCCCCTTCCAATTCTGCTCTTCTGTTCTTCCATTAAAAAAAAAATGTAATAAAAATAAGGATATAATTTTTTTCTCTTTAATTTCTTCCCCCCTGGCGGGGCCCCCCCCCCCCCCCCGCATAAACTATCTATCCAAGGTTTGCAATCTTCTTCCACCCCATATTACAGCTTTCCGAGGGCAGCTGTCTGACACCCCCTCTGACATCCAAGTCCAGCTGCTTTGTCCAACTGCACCGCGAAATGTCAACCTCAGACTCCCCAATGGGCCCCACCCTCAATGCTTCGAGCCTGACCCTCTTCGAGGCCTTCACTTTTTCTCTCATTCTTTTCCCAGCCTCGATTTCTCTTTTGTTCCGTCGTTCTCCCCCTGCAAGCTTCTTAAAGGTAAGTTTGTCTTCTTTTTAAAAAAAATAAATAAATCTTGGCCTTAGGATCTTCCTTTCTTTGGAAGGGGAGACACCACGGATGTGGTTGAAGGAGGCCCTCAAGCCACAGTATTAGTACCCCTTTAATAAAGACCTTATAAACACCTGGAATACTGCATCCAGTTTTGGTCACCACATTACAAAACAGATGTTGAGATTTTGAGGGAAAAGCGCGGAGAAGAACAACTAAGATGATCAAAGGCCTGGAGACTAAAACATACGAACGACAGTTGCAGGATTTGGGTTTGGCTTGTCTACGGAAAAGAAGGATCAGTATGATAGCAGCATTCCAGCCTTTGAGGGGCTGCCACAGAGAGGAGGGGGTCAAACTATTGTCCTAAGCACCAGAGGGCAGGACAAGAAACAATGGGTGGAAATTAATCAAGAGAAGCAACCTGGAATTAAGGAGAAACTCCCTAACAGGGAGGACAATTAACCAGTGGAACAGCTTGCCATCAGAAGTTGTGGGCCCTTCATCACTGGAGGTTTTTAAGAAGAGATCAGACTGTCACTTGCCAGAAATGGTATAGGGTCTCTAGCTTGAGCAAGGGGTTGGACTAGAAGACCTCAAAGGTCCCTTCCAGCTCTGTTCTGGTTGAAGTCTTGATACCTGGTGCATCTGAGCAGGTTTCTAGGAAGTGATGCAAAAGATGTAGTTGGCTGTGTTTTTCAGCAATGTGTTCTGGTTAAGCCACCAGCACAGCTAAAAATTCTCATATATGAATTTCATCTGTGCTGGTGGCTTAACCAGAACACTTTGCTGAAATAGTAATATTTGTAATATTTGTTTATTTTGTTTAATTGATTTTTATCCCGCCTTCATTATTTTTACAAATAACTCAAGGCAGTGAACATATTCGACACACCTCTTATTTTCCCCACAACAACAACCTTATGAGGTGGGTTGGGCTGAGGGAGAGAAGGACTGGCCCAAAGTCACCCAGCCGACCAATTATTTGGAGCCAATCACCAGGAGACTGTGAGTTCTAGTTCTGTCTTAGGCATGAATGATGGCTGGGTGACTTTGAACCAATCACCAGGAGATGGTGGGTTCTAGTCTCTCCTTAGGCATGAATGGCAGCTGGGTGACATTAGGCCAACCACCAGGTGACTGTGAGTTCTAGTCCCATTTTAGTCATGAATGACGGCTGGGTGAGCTTTTGGCCAACCCCTCTCTCTCATGTCCCTGCCTGCCTCACAGGGTTGTTGCTATTTTGGGTTAAAGAGGAGTAAGAAGATGTATTAGGTAAGTTCTCTACCTTAAGTTGTTTATAAATGTGGGATATAAATCTATCAATTTCTAGTCCCTCCCCCAAACTTAACCATGGGACAAATACCCTGTGTGTGTATATATATATATGGCATTCAGCTTTGTTCGGGTATTTTCCCACGTCATTGTAGTTGT